TAAAGATTTTGTCTTAGCATAGTTTCAAACTATAATAGAAATCTTTCTAAAGAATTAATTATAATAACTTATAAAAACCTGAAAAGAGAATTATATAAAATAAGAATCAGAATATTTTATAGTAAAGTCAAATAGAAATAAGCAATAAAAATTATAAATAGTAATAAAAAATAATAATAGGAAGTAAATAATTTAAGAAAAGTTGAAACAAGAAAAAATAAAACATAGGATCAAAGCAAAATATTTTATTTATTATAGTATTGATAATAATTAAAAAACAAAATTATGAAGCTGTCTTGAATATTCAAAAGAAATAATATAAGATAATAACTATTTATAAAAGAAAATATAAAAAAGCTATATACTATATAATATTTCAATATAAGAAAAAATCTACTAGAAAAAAATAAGAAGTGACAGTCTCAAATTTCAAAACTATTTTAAAAAAAATAACTAATATCTCTTTAAAATTTTTTTTCAAAATAACAAAATAGATCAATAAATATAAAAACTTGGAAAAAAATAATTATTAAAAAAAATATTAAAGAAAAAATATATTAAAATTATCTAATAAAAATATTTTATTATAATCTTGAATCTAAAAAAAATCAATTTTTTAATTCAATGAATTACTCATTAACCATAGAAGAGAAGAAATGAGAATAAAGATAATATAAATTTAAATAGAAAAATTAGATAGAGAAAGTAAGTTCTAGATAGAAATAAACAATTGATTCTTATTTACAAGAGTAGAGCAATTATAATCATATTTCTGATAATTTTTATCAATAGTATTATTAAGATTTGCATAAACAATTAGGCTTATATCTTCAATAAAATATAATTAAAAAAAGAAATTCAAAAAAAATTTATAAAAGATAATTAAATAAAGAAAGTTGATTTCTTTAAATATGAATAATCAAATAAATTCAAAAAAAAAATATAGATCTAAAGCTTACTAAAGTCAAGATACACCTCAATTATTTTTATAATTAAGAAGCAAATACTTTAGTTAAAGAAGTTCTAAAACCTCTATTAATTAAATGAAATTTTTTTTTTTTTTAATAAACAGGACAGATCATTTTATTGAAGTTTAATAGACAAGTACATTTATTCGGAGAGGCTATATTCCAAATAAAATTTAAACCTATCTATCATTTGACAACAAAATACATTGATAAAGATCTCTACTGTCTGCCAGATACAATTTCAAGAGGCCAGTATACTCGAAGTTTCACTGGTGTTTCATCCTCCAGAAAAGGTCAAAAAAACAAAGAATGGAGGGATGTATCTAAATATATGGTCATATATATAAAGTGGGTTTCAATAAACTAATTAACTATGAAAAACCCCCTAAAAATAGTTAATAGTAATGAGAATATGTTCAAAGATCTAAATTAGTGGTGTGGAGAGAAGATGTGTGGACGATGTTATATGTTTTTTAGTTTTCAGATACTATCACTGCTATTCATGAGTTCAAAAAGAAACTTGAGCTGATAAATAAGTTACTGTACAACTCATACAAGGGGAAGAAACTTTTACTTGAGTCCATACTGTCCAATATTTCTATTGAATATGCTTGTCGTTAATGCACTCGGAGTGATAGTGTTGGTGTGATACCCCATGTTATCTTGCAATAACTCCCAGCAATATCTATGTACCAGCTTGTTGGTCATTTCAGGTAGTGTTATTAACTCCCAAGTCAAGTACTGATGCCATTTAATTTAACTTTACCTAAGGTTGCCTCAGTACTACAGGAAACTCTTCCATATCTCTTTGATAAAATTACTCTTCAGTCAGGTTCAACTATATACATGAGCAAACTATTCTTGCTAAATAGGAAGGGAGAATTCTTTAGGATGGTCATTTGCACCTATAACTTTTATTTAGCAAATTTTAATTTTACATTCAATCCAACCTAGGGTTTACTCAATAACAATACATATATACATTTATTCTTTTTTTCTTCAGGTATATATTACTCTGTTATATACTATATATGTTAAATAAGTACTATATATATCAACTATTCTTAACATCTATCTATATTTAGCTAGTTATATAAACTATGCTATATATATAAGTACTACCTTATCGGAAAGCCATACAATTTCTTTTTAATTGTTCCTAGCATCTTTTTGGATCATAAGAGTAGGCTGGTTATCAAGACGTCAAATTTTCTTTATTCTGGATCCGGTATTTTGATTCTTCAGAGTGGTCCATGAGTTTCTTCTCCCATCAAGGCCTCCCAATAGTTGAGACAGTGACTGTGTGGCAAGGTCAAGTGTATGTAATAGAGGCGCTCTATCGGTCAGTTGGATTTGCTCTTTTTATTGTTAGAGACAAAGTTATCAATTCAGGATAGTCCTAGCTTTTGACTTCAGAAATTGATCCAATCACAATTTTCTTATAGACTATTTACATAATCAGTAGGTTCCTTCCCTACTGATTAATAACTATAATCAGAAATGTTAGTTATATACGATTAGGCTAATGGATGAGTGTTTATGCCCCCTGTAGGATTTAAACTCCTATCTTGTGATCTGACTTATGGAGTACTAACTATTGCACTCTTGATCTATAGGTCATTAAATGAAATAATAATATTATTATTATAAAATAAAGTAATAGAATATAATTATAGATGATTCAATTAAATGGTTTGTTAAGAATATTAATAATAAAACAACAATCTATCAATAAACACAATAAAATAGAATAGAAAAAAAATAATGTTATAAATTTTAGATAAACAAGTTTAACATGGAATTTAATGTAAAAAAAAATAAAAGATAAATATACTATATAGAAAAATATTTTTAATAAAGAAGTTTCTTATCAATCTAATCAATAATAATTACTTATTTTAAGTAAATTGGCTATTGAAAAACTGGATCTATATAAGTAAATAAAATATATCATATTTATTTATCAAAATAAAATAATAGAATATATATTAAAATATCTAATTTATATGAATTAAGTAAGAAGTATAAAAAAAGAAATCAATAAAATCCTTAGAGACTTCAAAGAACTTTTACAAAAAAAAAAAGAAATTAAAGAAAAAAATATTTAGGCTAATTATAAATAATTATGAAGAATTAAAAAAGCTAGATAAATAGATTTCTAAATTAGTAAAACAAATATTAAAAACTAGTCAAAATAAGTATCTTAAGCTTTTGTATTAATCTTATAAGAAATGATCTTATTTAAAAAATAGTAGATTGAAATGTTATAGAAAATGAATAAAAAAAGAAACAAGAAAATAAATATTAAAAATATAAAAAAAAATTGTAATCAAGTTTGAAAAAGAATTTGAAACACAAGATATAAAAAATAATTATAGTAAATAGTGAACACAGAAAATCTGCAAAAAAAAAACAAAATTAAAAGATCTTAATATTCTTCAAATCAGAAAATCATACCTTCAATAAAAAGAAAATCATTAATAGAAAAAAAAAACTTAGAAAATAGAAGCCTTAAGAAGATTTTAATAAAAAGAATTAAATATTAAATGAAGTGGTTGGATTTTAAGTTTTGTCTAAATCTAAAAAATAATTTGTAATAGAAATCTATAAGTAATAAAGTTAATAATTGAAAGAGTTTTTACTTAAACTACTAAATAAAATAATAAATTATTTTTGAAGTTATACTTAGAGTTTTTGAAAATTTATAAAATAAAAATAAATGAATTAGATAAAGATTTAGTTTTAGCAAAACATTTTAAATATAAAATATACAAATATTTAATAAAGTATATATACTTAGTTTAACTAAAGATTTTTTAAAAAAAAAACAAAACTTAAAAGATAAACTCAAAATAAAAAAAAGTCATATAAGAAAATATAGTCAAATAAATATTTTATAATATATAAAATAAACTTAAGTTAATAAATAATAATTTATTTTATATTATTAAAAAAAATAAAATATGAAAAAAAAAATTGAAATTATAATAAAAAAAATAAATACTTTGTTAACAAAAAAATATGTTTAATCATTTTTAAAAAGAAGTATTAAACAAAAAATATTAATAAATAATAGTATAGAAAAAACTTAGAAAATTTTTTAAAAAGATAAACAAAAAGATCTATAGAAACTTATTTAATAAAAAGAACTAAAGAGATAAAAAAAAAAAGATATATAATAGAAAAAAAATATTTAGACAAAGATTTTTATTAAAATAATAATAGTAGAATTAAAAATAATATAAAATAGTTGGATTTTAAACTTAATAAAAACTTAGATTAGTAATTTACAATAGTGAACTGCAAATTACTTCCAAAGTTATATTTAGAATTTAGTAACAAACTAAGATGAATAAGTTAGCAATTTAACTTTAGTGACATTGTAACTAATATAACTTATCTTATATTTAATGTACATAACTAATCTAATAGTGTTAAAAAAAATAAAAAAAATAAATTTAATATATTTTTTGTTCTATTATTTTTTAAAAATACTAATTATATAAATTATTTTTTAAATTTTATTATATTAATAAAATCAATTAATTTATATTATTAAAACCATTTTTTTAATATATATATATATATATAATTACAATATTGCGATACTATATATATAATAAATTCAAATAATACAATAAATTTAATATTTGTTTAATTTTAACTCTACCAGTCAAAATTTAAAAATTCAATTTTAATTAACAAATGATTTTTATGTATAATCTTTTCTATATTAAATATTCTTATACAATATAATAACAATTTTTTGACCACAATGTAAAACTATAATACCAACAATGCCCTTTCCATAACGAGCTCGATATTAATAAATAATATATTTCAAGTCTACACATTTGTGACGTAACCTCTGGTGCTATTAAAAAATTAAGATAGACGCATTATTTTTATATTAATTGTACATAAAACGCGATGATCAATAGTTACCTGCAAATACAATATATTAAACAGCGGAGACAATCTGGGAAGAATGGTTTTGGATTGTGTTAATAAAGTTCACTATATATTTGATAACTAAAATATTCCACAGACCTCATCAGCTCTTTGCAAAGCTTCAATCATCTTTTTACATTCTTTTCGTCTTTGTTGAGTATAATCACTTTCCTTGAGCAATTCGTCCAAAACTTCGGCTTTGTATAGTTCCTGCAGCAATTCACGTTGAAGCTCCTCTTTAGCAAATGACACGAGGTTAAGCATGATTGCCTTAGGAACCATGTCAATAATAGTCCTCTTCACGATATTGAAATAAGATTGAATGAGCAGTTCTATGATCGACAAAATATTAGTATCTAGGTTTCACGTGACGAAATGACGAACAGTATAAATTGTATATGTTGACCCACTTATCACTTCGGTCTCCATATATTCACGCTCAGATAAATTTCCTGATGCCTTTAATACTGGTGGCGGCTTCAAGTTCGCAAACGTGTAAGATTAGTTATGTTCAAATAAAAAGAAAAAGAGAAAGAAAAATAAAAAAGCATGTACGCGATAAATATGATTTGCTTATACCGGTTCCATAACGCCAGGCTTCTTTTTTTTATTGCTCGAGAAAAAGCTTCCAAAGAACCCAGTATTACCTCCATCACTGTCGAGCAGCGGGTTAGAGTTAATCAGGTTGTTAATGCTTCCACGATTTGATTTCGGATCTACGGTGGGATTACTGGGCTTTGGTGGGTTAAGCTTCTCGTTAATCATAGTCAAGGCTTTGTGACCATTCAAAAAATCGGGATGAGCCGTATTGATGTAACATGCTTCCATACTATCAATCGAACATAAACAATTAAATGGAAACAATTTATAAGGCAAAAATTCGTTGTTTCAATATCATTGTAGCCTTACTTGACAAGATCCTGTACAAGTTTGTTTGTGGGTAACATGGCCCTCTTGAAAAAGCTAACAACTACGAGATAAACTTTTTCTTTCAATCCTGGGAACCTTTTGAAGAGCTAATTATAGAGTAGAATCAAATCAATACTAATTAGAGTTGATCTGCAAAAATACAATTCTTACTCACCTGTTTCTGTAACAAATTAGTTAGAATGCGAACCAATTCATCGTACACTAACGTTGAACATTTTAAACTAGGTTCTTCTAGGCGCCTAATCTGTTGTTTAACAATAACTTCGAATGCAGTAGGGGATACGAAAAGAGCTGGAGACGATCCCTACGTTACACGTTGGAGCACACATTAGAACACGTAAAATATAATGAATACAAAGGTAATAAATGAAATTATACCGAGGAATTATATAATATTGTTCGAATGTCCACATCTTTCACTTGATCAAATGGATCTATCGACTTTACACCAGATGCAAACACTTCATGGAAAACAAAACTGATTCGAGCACCACCGGACAATTCAAACGAAGAAAGTTCATTCGAATTTCCGTCAACAATAGTGCGAAATTCGGTGCAAAATTCTGTAATAATGTTCAGAACAATATTGCCATGATTATTGCCTTCTTCTAATGGATCTCCAAGTGATAATAATTCAGTCTGATATTTAGAAAGCACTGCATGAATTTTAGCTTTGATTTCAGGAAGCGTGGTGCGAATATGATGCATGAGGATCTAGGCATGGTAAGCAAGATTAGAATGCAAGTTTTTATTATGATGACCAAATTTATTAAGTAAATTCCAAAATTATACCATATTTAGCTTTCGTGCAAGGAATGGTGTACCGCAGTATTGTGCCTTGCTCTTGTAAGATGGATGGTTTTCAAAGAATTGACTTTCTTTTTCAAGCGCATCGGAAATCGCTTTCTTACTATCAATATCTCGCTGTCCGCGGTTAACCACAGGCACATAACCTATAAATAATGTTTTAATGACTATACAAGTATGAATAATTTCGAGAGAAAATAACATATTTACCTAGCCTTAAGGGGATAATACGTCCCGCTAAGATGTCTACGACATCTGTCCCTTGATCCCTGAATTTGATAATATCTTTAACATAACAATTTCCTAGTAGACTAACATAACAAACTTAAGTAACTTACATAAGATCAATTTTTGTGAGAACACCGATTGTCCGTGATCCTAAATTAAAGAGCTATAAGCGTCAAATAACCACATAATATCAAATGTCCATATTCAATATAAACCTTCAGGATCAACTTCACGAGCTAATTTCAACCCATCGGAGTTGGCTAAATCAGTGTTAGCCGCAGTAACAGCAAGAATGATTGCATTTGGTTTAGTAATGTATTTCAAGATCATTTCTCTGATTTGTTTCTCAATGTCCTTTGGTTGATCACCGACGGGAACCTGAGAGGTGAAATGAATAAATCAGTAAAATGAATAATAGAAAAAATGAACCTTGTTTAGATTTTGCTATATACTTTTGTAAGACCAGGTAAATCGACAAGAGTTAAGGTAAGAACGTTGGGCGAATATATTCTTAGATTGATGGGTTGCGGAGAGATACCTATATGTAGATCATAAAATCAATTTTAAAATACTGAACAAAGAAAAAAAAAACAAGCTAGAAAGAAACAGACCAGCATTAGTTCCCGTTTTTGCTTCAGTCTCTTTAACAATTTCTTCACGAATCTTATTGAAGTCAGAAAATTTTTCACCGGGAAGATGCAGAAATTCACCCCATTCTTCGTAATCTTCGTTAGCATCTGAAACCTTTTGTTTACTGGTTTCAGTCTTCGGTTTGCCAGCAGTTTCCGACTCTATCAATCAACATTAAAGATGACGCATGAAGGAAGGATCATACAAAAATCTTTAATATCAAAGAATATAATTTGATCTAACCTTCGATACCATTAGTTTTTGGATTTGAGGACGGTCGGTTTATGAGTTGTAATACCTAATCAATTTAGGATACGCATAGAATTCGAAATCAATTATAGTTAAGGTGCATGACGCTGAATGGTTACACGCGTTTTCGCTACACAACACTAACCAAAGGTCTTCGAGTTACAATTCCTGTTCCTCTTGGCAAAAAATCGCGTCCCACAATGTTTTCCAATACGGAGCTTTTACCACTCGATTGAGAGCCAATAACTACAATCTGTGGTAGATCAACGGGATTCTGAACTCCGACAGTTGCAAAAGCATCTTGTAGCTTGTTAACTAGAATCCAGGAAAAAGTGTAAATTTTTAAATTCACATGAATCCAAGATTTCATTAAAAGACGAACCTGTTTTAATTAGTGATGTGTCCATTGCAAGCTGATTACCGTAATAAGACAAGCGATCAACTAGGAGGCTGTATTGGCGTAGCGAGATGTGTAAACTATCGTGTTGATACCTTATATAGCCAATCAGATATAATGCAGTGTTACTATCCAACACAAATCAGTAGTTAAGGAAAATTAAAAATTATGAATTTACTTTTTTTCTTTTTTTTTTTTTTTTTTTTTTTTTCTGATTAACCCCCGGGCGGCTAGGTTGTTTGTTTTTTAATCAAAAAAAAAAAAAAATAAATATACATTTGAGTAGCATGGTACACTTCCCTGACAAAAGTCACCGGCCAGCATAATTTGATTCTGAATTTCGAAATAATACCAATATATATAATTTTATTAATATATTAATACAAAATATAAATAAAAAAAATAAATTGATATTTCATTCTTGCTTTGGTTTGTTTTTTTTTGAGTACCCATAGCCAGGCTAGATTGTCAGTTTATTAATCAATTGAAAACATAAGTACATTTTTATTTGAGTAGCATGGTACATATTATAGCTAAATTATTATTCTAATCTAACTTGTTATAAGCATAAGAGCTTCTAAGTTCAGCCTTGAGGACAATATTTTGCTTCGCAATATCTTTGGGTAAAAACCTTTCTAATCCATTGCATTATTGTCAGCAGATTGTCAATACTATATGTCTTATCAAATTTTACAATTTTTATTTAAGTTATTTAGTGGATAAGAATCATTATTATATGTATTTATACAGATAAAGAAATAAAGAAAGAAAGAGATAATATGTCTATTACTATATATATATTCTCAAATAAGCACTATATACATAAACTATTATAGTACACACAACCAATTGATAACAAATATCAAGAAAATTTAAAGAAAATTTATCTTTCTTATATAAAGTTTCTTTCTTTATAAAGGAAAGAAAAATACAAGAACACTGATTCACAATAAGTTTTTTGAGATCCAACCTCAACTTCACAAGCTCTCAGCCAGGCCAGTATAGGATAACACCTTTATTGATATTAAGAGAAGTCTTGCAAACAATAACTCAAGTCAATAAATTAGTTTAAGTTCAAGATTTATAACACCTAGGAGGATATCTAAGTCTCTTTTGCTTAACAGAATAGAGTTTCAAAACAATATAACAATTGATTACATCTAAAATGCATAACGCAAAATCTGTTATATCTATGTTTTCACAACAACAAGCTCACATAACAAATATAAACTTCAAAACAAACATATTTTGTTTACAATCCCTCATATCATATCTATTTTTAGATTTAATAAACAAAGTCAATCATCTCCAAATAGATCTGCGTCAGCAAAACAACAACAGTTTATTTGAGTGACACATAAACTTTAGATTACATCATCTACCAAAACAGTCAATAAGTTTTTCTGTATCATATAATTTAGATATGTTAATGAAAAGATATAGGATAATGCAAATGACGAAAAAGAGAGAAGTACATATTATAGATATATTGATTTAACTATCAAACAAATTTAATTAATATAAAAAACTTTGGGTAGTATAAACTATTTTCAATATAGCTGCTACTCCAGAAACTATGCAGGATCCTACCCTAAATCAAACAAATACTTAATTCTAGATAATATTATCACCTAAATCTTAAATATCGATCAGACTACCTTTGTTAAAATCACAATTCTTAAGCAATATATCCTATATTTGTAAACTCAAGGACAAGAGAAAAATGAAGATCTTCTAACATCATATTTAGAAGATAAATATTTTGATTTAATCGAACAGGAGAAACAATTACAATACATTTTCTATGAAATATCAATAGCCCAATCTATAATGAATGGCAATTCTTATAATATAGATCTGGAAAATAATATGAATGTTCAATTAATTATAACAGTAAAAATTCTTAGTAATACTAAAATAGAAATGGATAATAAGGAAGTAGAAGATCAACTAACGATAAAGAAGATTACAGAAAAGATTAAAAGAGATAATATCACTAAACAATTTGCCTATGAGACAAGAAATAGATTATCTTCTTCCAGTATTAATTCCTTTCATATTAAAAAAAATAGTAAATACAAAATGGGGATTCTTATATCTAGGTTTCCATGAGAATCTGAAAATGAGAGAATTAAATACCTTCAAAATGCATTAAGTCTATCAAAAGACTTTCAACCCTTTAAGAAAAACTTTTTTAATGAAAATGCTTGAACTATATTCTGCTATAAGAAAGAAGAAGATGTATTGTGTTGTCTAAAAAAAATCAATAAAAAAGATAGAGAAAACTTTACCATCATTTTTTTGGAGATAGAAAAATGGATGAACTCTAAGAATATGATATACAAAAAGATTTTTCAACAAAAGACTAAAAATGACAAGTCTTTATTAGTAGTTACCCTAGTTGATATTGATCGAAATCACTCATGTCAAGAGATTAAAGCTATCTTATTAAAATATAGAAATATAACAAATATTCATATTTATAATCACTTATATTCTCAAAGAAGAATAAAAGCCCACATTATATTTTATCAACAGTTCAATAATTTAGAGAAAGAATAGATGATTTATATTAATAAAGAAACTATTAGAGCTATCTTCACTCAATATAAACCAGATAATGAAGAAATTAATTAAATAATCAAACAGTGCAACTCTCAATCTCTAAGACTATATGGTACTTATAACACTACTACTAGTCTGATAGTTCAAGCAGATAGACATACCAAGGCCAAAACATACTTTACTTCCAGAAATTTACTTATACTCAGAAGGCGAGACTACACTATTATATGTTTCACATTATCACAAGATCTTGAAAAAGCTCTAAAGCAATATATCTTCATGTATGATTATAAACTTATATGAAGTGCTAAAGAATATTTTAGAAAAGAACAAGACCTTTTACCTAATAAACAATATCACAAGAAGACTTTAGAATCAGATAATGAATCAATATAATCAGATACTGAACAGACAGATAGAAGGATAAGGAGAACTGATATTAGATATAATAAAAAATCAAGATGAAAGTCTAACTCTAATAAAGAAACTGATAAATCCAACAATGATACAGATAAATCATATATTTAGCTCAGAAGCAAACTAGTCATATATACAATCAAAACAAGACAAGAACCTAGATCCAAAAGAGTTGAATATATTCAACCAATAGGTAGTAATAATGAACCCATCAACTCAAACAAGAGATAGAATCAAGGAACTAATCGAGATTTAAAAGTTCAAACAGCTCAGACTTTAAATATAATGGGTCTGCTTCTTGACAACAGATCTTAGCTAATCTGAAAAAAAATGAATACAAGAATTAGTAGAATGGAGCAACAATCCAAAAAATGTTCTTGATCAGAATGTAAACAAGAAATCCAATGATTATAAAGTATACCAGTCTAACTACAGTTTGTGAAGAAGAACTGGATTCCCAAAAGGAATATAGCTTTTCTCAAGAAATTAGAAATTCAATGGCAGATGTAACAAACAATAACATACATAACAATAAATTCTCAAATAATATAAGCTCTTTAGATGACTTTATTTCAATAATAAAATTCAATACTATCAAAATATCAAAAAGTCATACTTTTTATCAAAATAACAATATCAAACCATTTATCAATAATATTATAACTATGGGAATATGTAACATGAAAGATATTAATACAATTCTTGATCAATAAAGGCTTTAAAAAAAAATTCAAGAGATGAATATTGATATTCTTGAAATTTGTGAAACAAAACTTGTATTTGGATCTGATGCATTTGCT